TCTTGCTCCCTGGTGATCCACTTGTATAAAGGAATCTCACGGCTGCGCCACCAAACGACGACTATTAGGAATAGGCATTAGAAGGTATATTTTTTTTTTTGCTGTCACATTAGAAGGTATATATATACTTCTATCTTTGCCCTTAAACGTTGGAAACTAAATTTATATATATATATATATATTGGTGCAATTTTTTTTATTAAAAATGCACGATATGATTAATTTATCAACTATATATTTTCATTTTTTATGTTTATAAGATAAGATTTTTATTTTATCATACAGGATTTGATATATAATTTTAATTTAATGATATTCTCACATATTATAATATAAATGAAAATAAAAGATTTAAAATAACAAAATTAAGACTTATGATTTAGCCTTTAGGTGTTGGAAAAATTGGTAACTGAAGGGAAAAAAAAATCTCAAATTCAAATATAAATAATTCCATCTGAAAAATAATTAGTCCCCTATGATTGGAAACATACATGATATCATTACTTGAAGGAGAAATATGTGTCCGATTTTTTAAATTAGAGTATATAACAATTATACTGGAAGAAAATTCTTGCACATTAAATTTTCTATTCAATTTATTTTCAAATTTGGTATGAATTTTTTTTTCTCAATTCACTTTTTGGTTACAACAAAAGTTTTTTATTTAATGTCACTAGATTAATAACAGTTAGAAAATTAAAGAAGCAAGGTAGAGTAACTTACTAGATTTAGATTTGGTTTTGCTGCTCCTTCATAAATGCACCCTACCAAAAGAAAAAAAACCAGAAGAGAGAGAGGAATATTTTGGAAAAACAAAGTATTCACATCTTCTCATTTTAATATAAATATATATACACATGCACGACGTTAGCTGATTTATCATTATATCTCCGTTATCTTAGTTAATCAGATAATATTTTTATATATACGAGATGAATTTAAATGTATTCAAATATCTATTATATATTTATAATGGATTAAATCCTAATTTAATCCATAAAATTATTTGAATCCAAACTGAGTAAACTTAATCATATAATATCGATATTGAGATTATTCAGATAATATAAATTAAATCTCTTATTCAATTTATATTATATTCAATTAGATAAATCATTATATTAAATATTTCGGCCCATCAGATACAGATCCGAAGCCTACTAGTGAGAATCGATTTCAAGCCGAAATAGGTCTCTCTTGATTTAGAAAACGACGTCGGTTGCAATCACACGGATCCTCACTTTGTGATGGATGAATCTTTCCATTTTAACTTTTTTGTGGCTTGAACGTTCCATTTTAATTTAGGAGCCGCTTGCCTTGCAGTGGGTATGAGGCAAATTTTGTTCCAAATATAGATATTAAAATTTTATAGGCCTAGAATTTTAATTATTTATTAAATTAATCATTAATAATTAATTAACATTTATTACTATCTCTAGTGTTTAATATAAAAGTTAGATAGCTAATTTGATAGTATTAAAAAATTTAATTAAGTTAGTTATTTGTTAGAAGTATGTGTTGATTTTTCTAAATTATTCTTATCATATGTATGAGAATATCTTTTGATAGGAAACTCTTATTTTTTATAGAGGTACTTTGGAAAAATGCAGAGAAAATAGATTGCTGTATTATATTAAAAAACCAGAGGTAGTATAACTTTTTCCCAATGATACAATGTGAACAGATGCCCAGGCACACTTATTAAAAAACATGCCCACACACACTTGTCAAAAAAAAAAGAAAAGAAAAGAAAACATGCTCATAAACAAGCATGTTAACACCTGATGGGGTCAAGCCTAAGATCTCATCGAAGCATGATAAGTCGCATTGTCACAAGTTGTCATTGACTAATATGTTTTTATAATAAATTACTAAAGACATGGTAAATTTTTACAATCGATATCTATAACTAAAAAATGATACGTTCCATATTTCTCAAAAAAATGAATGGTGTTATAAATAAAGAAGAAATAGATGAGAATAATAGAGAAGAAGAGAGGATTAATAAGAGAGAGTATTTCTCATTCCATTCAAGAGTATATCTTTGATAAAGTCTACAGATTACATAATAATAGAAAATAATTATGGGATATAAAGATAATGGGAAATATTGGAGATTACAGGAGATAATGGGAGAGATATATGGACATCCACAAAGATATTATTATATTCATAACACTCCCCCTTAGATGTCTAATATATATGAATGTGCCTCATTAAAAAACTTCAACTAGAAAAAAACCCTGTGCCTCATTAATCCCAACTTACTTTTAATATCTATCTATGTGCATTACTATGGTGGAATAATAGACATTGCACATTCTAAGATGAAAAATGTCTAGCTCCTAACCAAAAGTCAATTATAATAGGAGAATTCATAATACATTGTTGGCTTGATACATTTATATGTGAAATATATAAAATCAATCATCCCAACACTCAAATAGAAATTCTATTCTCATAAACTCTGGTCTAGCTACTTATGGAGGCTTTTACTAAGCATATAATCATCAGCAACATAAGGAACAATCACTAGCAATCTCAATGAGAATCATATTGACTTCATAACTAGGAACTTATGTACTTAATGTAATTATTTTAATATATTTGTAAATTTCAGGTTGCAAGTTGATCATAAACACTTGTGACCATATTATAGATCCATCTCTCACTCATAGGGTATTATTTTGGTCCATATGTGTCTGAATAGGCCCATATATAAACTTGATACATTATAAATTTGCATAGATCAAATTTTGAGCATAACTAGTGATATTCTCTTATTTAGTTCTTTTGAGAACAAATAACATATAAGAATTCTTGAATCATATACCATTTTTAAAGAATCTTTTGGTTATTTAATAAATGCCAATGCACATTTTTCATAATATTTTGTATCATTATGATCCGGGATGATCTGACCGGTCATGTCAAACTATAAATGTATAAACTTTTGGCTTACTGTAAAATTATTCTCAATTATTGGTAAACTTATTGTTACCATGTCATATTATTCATTTTTTTTAATGCTCTCTGAAATTTACAAATACTTCTCTGATTCCTTGATCTCTCTCTGCCATGGATGCTTCTCTGCAACTCCCATTGCTTCGTTGATTCAATCATTGTGACGCTATGAAAATAGGATTAGATTTTTGTAGTTCTTAAGAAATTTGGGCTTCGTTATGATGAATTGATAAATGAGCTTGTAGTTCTTGATTGTTGCCGAGTTTGATTTTATCAGGAGGAGGAAGATTTTCTGGTAACAGAGTATCTGGGCATGGGTTGTGGCTGCAACGGAGGGGAAAGATTTTTTTTTTTTTTAATGAAGGCTATTTTAGTATTTTCATATTATAAATATATATATTTTTTTTTGTTTTAAACTCATTTTCACCTCCGTTTCCACTTCCACTTGCGCTCTTATTTCCACTCACACTTTCTTCCAGGACTCTTCCGTTATAGCAAACAGGGCATTAGGTTTCCTTGTAGTGAGGGAGATAGCTCTTTAAGGCACGCCCACATTAAAGTTTCAAATTATAATATATTTTGTTCTGTCTTATAATATATAATATATATTATTTCTACGCGCGCGCGCACACATATATTATTTCTTCAATTCAATTTGCCAATTTTATCATATTTTTTATATACAAGCGAAATAACATGTTTTTAAGATTCAGAAATTGTTAGAAAATATTTTTCCGATATTTAATATAAGACCCATTTAACTAATTTGATTAGATTAAGGAAGTTAGGTAAGTTGGTTAATTATAAGAAAAGTGACACATTTTTCCTAAAACATCATAATCATCTTTGTTAATACCCCTTCTCCCTCTTCTACTCTTCTACTTGATTATGGTTGAGGGAGTATCTATAGGGGTACTTTAGAGAAAATTGATAAATATGATAAATGTGTCTTATATTTAAGACCAAAACCAACTCAAGAATTGGGTCTTATATTAAGGACAGGAGGATTAATAATTATGATATAAATATTATAAAATCATAAGAAAGAGTATATTTGTCAACTTAAAGTTAGCCCTTCTCCTCAAGAACTAAACAAGATTGTCCCTCCTCCCTTTATACCAAACGGGGCATTAGGTTTCATTATAGCGAGGCGGATAGCTCTTTAACACACACACGAGAAAGTTTCAAATTATAATATATGTTATTGTATGTTATAATATATAATATGTATTATTTCTATATTATATATGTATTTATATATGTTTGTGCTCGCGCCTCTCGTCAACCCTCTTTATTAATTTTACCATATTTATATGTATTGTTTCTTCAATTCAATTTACTAATTTTATCATATTTTGAGAAGTAAAATATTTTTTTATATACAAGCGAAATAACATGTTTTTTTTAGATTAAAAAATTATTAGAAAATAATAGCTATGACATAAATATTATAAAACAATAAGAAATAGTATATTTATGAACTTATAATTAACCCCCCTTCTTTCTCCTCCTGAACCCTACAAGATTTTCCCTCTCCTCCCTTTAGGTACTGTTTGGTATGAGGGAAATGGAGGGGAGGAAAATCTTGCTTTGGCACACTCATGACTAGGTGAGTATTTCTCTCAGCAATTGTCATTCTCCAAAAATTAAGGTGTGACTCATCCGAACTAATAAATCATGGATCTATCTTTGAAAGAAAAATGAATAACCTAAAATTATAAATATACAAGAAGAAACATTCGGTACTATAAATATTTTCATTCATCACTACTAGATAACATCTCCAAGGGACAAATGATCAAATGTTATATATAAACGTATAGTTCATTAAAAAGATATTTAAATAATTTAAATCAGAAAATAATAAAGAAAACTTATCAAGGCTCTTAAATGTGGATGTTAATTGCTAACCGATATAAGGCTTTCCACATAATAAAAATACCTATGAGCAAAGCAGCATTTTGTTGGGAAATCAAACATGCTGTATTCATCAGTAGTAAGATTGCACAAAAGAACTTTTGCTTCATCATTCTCTACTACTTCTTCAAATTCCCTTCCAAGCATTGAATCGAATCTACAAAAATTTCATTTCTCCAAATAACCATTGGACATAACCCGCGTGGATAGGGTCTGCTTGTATATATTTTAGTCCAAATCCATCTCTCCCTTGACTCATTTGTAGACTCCTCAATCACCCACAAATCAATGAAAGATGATTCATGAATTCCAATGAATGTGGAAGAAAGCAAAGCAAGTTTGTTATCATACATAGTAAACGTTATGCCATATGATTCAAGGAAAAGAGACTTAGTGGGAAATGGTATCAATGTGAACACTTCCATTGCTACATCAAATGAAACTATCAAACCAGGATCAATTCCTACCTGTAAGCCCACCCAAAAGATTGATCCATTATAAGTGAAACCACTATCACTCATCAGAGATATGCCCTCTAAATTCCTAAATTTAACTTTTCTCCAAAACCCTGTCGTTAATGCATATACTTCCACTTGAAAAACCAAAAGATTAATGATAAAAAGTTTCACAATCTTGTAATCATTAACAACTAGGCTGAACCCAAATCCTACAGAGAAATCTTCACACTCGTAATGGTTAAGAGATTTGGGCACCTGTCGGACATCTCTAATAGCTGGATTCCATAACCAAAAAGAATCAGATTCATCAGCCATGATGAGTTCGAGACAAAACAAGCCATTACTGGAATGGACAATCCTCCAGAATCTCATTAAGGGATCAACGATAGGTGGGTTCTGAAATTCGAGGACTTGCATCTCACGATTGAGAGAGCTCAAGTGCCAAGGATTATTCTTATCATTATTACTCCCACATTTAGAGCTATAGCAATCAAAAACAAGTAAAGGGTTTTGTTGAGTAGAATGGTGAAGGTGTTCTGCTATGAAAGATGGGGTTTTGAACAGATCTTTCCAATATTTGCACACACATTGAAATCGGATTAGGGATTTTACCGGAAGTCGTACAAGAATATTTGCGACAATTTCTTGAGGAAGATGAGGTGTCTCGTTCTCCATTAAGATGTGCTTCGTGGTGAAAGGCTTGCAACCTACGAGGACGGCTAGGTTTAGGTATTAGAAGATACATACGCTAGGTTTAGGTATTAGAAGATACATACGCTTCCATCATTGCCCTTAAAACGTTGGTGACTAAAGTTATAGGCATTTTTCTGAAAAGTTTTATTAAAATGTAGGGTAAAATAAATTTATCAACTATATATTTTCATTTTGTTAATCTTTTTTATTTTAATAAGTTAAAAAAATAATATGTATGTTGGTCTTTCGAAATTCGAAAAAAATATAGAGATATAATCAAATACGAAAAAAATCAGTGCTAATTTAGGTATTGGAAAAAAAATTCATAGTTAAAAAGAGATTTAATCTCAAATTAAAATATAAAAAATGGATAAAAGTGTACTCAAGACTTTGAACTATTTTTCAAGATCCATACAGCACCTAAACTTTTAAGCAGTACCCCTAACCATTCAAATGGGTGCAAGTTCACCCTAAATTAACAAACTCCTAAACATTCGTTTTCTCTGGCTTTCCATCTCTGCTAACTTCGTAATGATGAGTGTATTTTATGCTCGTCACAATGATGAGTATAGAGTGCTCATCTTCATTTGGACTATCTAAATTGATTTTAGATGACTCAGATTGAATTTAATTTTTTTTATGTATTTTAATTAATGTTTTATTTAGAGAGGTATAGAATTCAAAATAAAGATAATCTTATAACTAGCGTTTTTTAAAAATAAATTTATCATTGAAAAAATTGCGTATTAAAAATTTTAAATATAAACTATTGGTATCAAATTTTGAATGGTCTAGATTGGATCACACATTCATTGTTATGAGCACCAAATGAGGACCCGTCCATCTCTTCCTCTTGAACTACTTTCAATGCTTATCACTTTAATGAGCTCTATGATACTAATCAAATCTCAATCATTTAAATTTAATATGGATGATTGAGATTTAATTTTTAATTTTTTTTCCAAAAAATATTTTCCTAAACATAGGTGTATAATTCAAAATAAATGTAATCTTTTAATTGTAAGTTTTTAAGAACACAAATTTTTTTATTTAAAATTCACTATTTGAAAATTTTAAATCTAAAACAATAAAATTGATTTTGAATGGTTTAGATTTTATCACAGCAATAAGCATCATGATGCTCATCACTATGATGAGCGCTCAAACTGTTCCTCTTCCTTTCTCCCTCCTTTCCCGTTCTCTCAGGGGTAGAAATTGGTGTCATCACCATCTTCCTTTCTTCTGACGTCTTTCATTTTCACTCCTTCACCAATCTCCTTTTAGTTGCAAACCATGAACTAATTTTTTTGCCCCCTAAACTCATCAATCCTCATAGAATAAGAGCTGCAAGATTCTTTCTTTTCTTGTCACTACTCTTCTATTTGCGATGAGTGGTGTCTATACAAAATTAGATCTTCCGGTGTGCTCTATTTGTGAAGTTGAGTACCTATATGATGGAGAAGAAGCTACATGCAGTGTTTATGTTGGTGGGTATGCTTGTGTTCACCATCTCCAGTATTGTGATGGTGAAAAATCATGCCTCTGTGGCCAAAGATCTAGGAATGCACGGGAGATAGACTCAGGGTTGCCTTTGAAGCTTGGAACTTTTGCAATGAAGTTGACCAAGAATCTCCTCACATGGGTAGCCCCAGGAGCTGCTGATTGTTTTGATTTTTCTAGTAAGCCAAAGCACATAATCTGTAACATCCTAAATTTTAGGCCTAGAAGTACCAGAATTAGCTTGAAATAGGTAGACTACCAGACCTCTTTTGGTAGGGGTCTCAGAGATTCCCTAGAAGGATAGAGGGATTCCTAGGGACTAAATCGCAAAGAGAAAGTTTTCTGGGACTGAGAAAAGAGGAAGTTAGAGACTTAGAAAAAGTCTCAAGGTCCAGGAATGATAAATAGAGATAAATATAGGCTAAAGGTTATGTTGGAGGCCTCAATGAGGTGAATTTTGAGGTTAAACCAAACCAAAGGCAAAATTGTAATTTTACAAAGTTTTGAGCTAGTAAGGGCAAAAATAAAAATTATACCTGAAAATCTCAGAAAAATCCCAGAAAATGGGAAATGGTATGTTAAGGCCTGAACACTTCAGAAAAATTTCAAAAAAATAGGAATAAGGTTCAGAGGCCTGTATGAGGCTAAAAATGACGAAAATGCCCCTAGAAGGAAATTGTGGAATTCTCAAGGTTTTGACTGATTTTGAATATTGTTGAAAATGAATTATTTAAAGTATAGGGAGGCCTCATATAATTAGAAGAAAATGAGGAAAAATACTTGAGGAATTATCACAGGTTTTAAAAATAATTCCGTCCCCAGAAAGCAAAGAAATTGGCTTTAATAGAATTTAAAGCCTATTTACAAACTATCCAGGGAAAGTCAAGGTCAAATGTCTAGAGGTTGACTTTTGACTTAAGTAAAATTAGAGGAATTCCCCATGATGAGTAAATAGTATTGGTACTCGGAGATAGATTCTTAGAGTTATGAACTGGTAGAAAGAATTCGGTCAAGATCACTCTGAAATAAATATTATTAATTATTTTAATTATTTTAATGGAAGAACAAGGGAAGAGCATCACTCTCTCTCTCTCTCTCTCTCTTTGGGCATGTTATATAATGCCATGTGAATTTATTTGAAGTGAGAAAATAGTGCCAAAACATGTCCCAGTGGTTCTGGGTAAGTCAGGGCTCGAAAAAGTACCTTACACGGTGCATAATGGCAAGATAAGTAGATGAATGCCTAAGGATTGTATTTTGCACGAATTTTATATTAATTTCCTTCCTATTTTAATGCCTTAATGATGAAAGAAAATGGAAGAGACAAGTGTACGGTGTGATGGGAAAAGAAGGTATTACGTGTACGACTAGATGCAGGACACGTCTACGGTCGGATGCGGGACACGTCTACGGTTGGATTAAAAGCATGTGGATTGATGATGTAAGCATGATGTCATCATGATGAGGTAAGCATGATGTCATAGGACACTTGTTACCATAAGATTAAAAGAGAAAATGGACGGTCCATATCAAGCCACACATTTTTAAGATCAACGGTCCAGATTCAGTCTTATTTTCTATAGATACCCCTCCCCTCCCAATCATTTTGTCCAAGGTCCTTGTACCCATGGGAAAGCTCTGCAAAAATGATTTCTAGAGAGAGAAAGAAGAGAGAGAAAGAAAGGCCAAGTGGTCCCATGCAAGATCAAGCTCTAAAACAAGATATGTTTATGGTTTTTGATGTAGTTTTCACTACTCTTATTGTTGTTGAGCTTGGTTATGAATTTTAATGAGTTTTGGGAGCTTGGGACCCTTGGGGGAGGTGCTGCATTTAATTTTTTTAAGTGTATGGGGAGATGAAATTGATGTTAGATTAATGTTCAACGGCTTGAAAGGAGCACGAATCAAGTGGTTTTATGCTGAAATTGGTTGAATTTCATGATTGTGTAACTTGAGAAGATGTTTCGGTCAGACCTGGTTCTTGTGCCTAGGATGTGATTTTGATGATTTTGATGCTTTCAATTTGTTTAAAATGAAAAATTGTGTAGGGATAAGATGAAAGAATGAAGTTGGAAGCATCAGAATCAAAACTGAAAATTAGGTGGCAGATTTCGTTTTTGGCCTAGAACTAGGGGAAGGAATTGGAATTTGATGTATCTAAGCTCATATTTGGATTCTTTGGGCAAAATTGTGTAGGATTGGCCTAAGGGAACAATTTTTACAAAGCTAAAATACTACATGATAAATTAAAGAAAAAGGGATTAAGTTTAAGGACTTAAGTCTTCCATATTGTGTAATTCTTGGTCCTAATGAGTAATGTGACTCTTGTGACTGTGATTAGGACCTTGAGGCATCCAAGAGAAGGTTTAGATGTGGCTGAGCAAGCAACCTTAATGGTTGGAAACAAAAAGGGAGTAAGAAGAAAGCTTAAGGACCCAAGGTAGTAAATTTTACCCTACTCTTATGTGCTTGGTATTTGCCTGCATGTATGACATGTTCTGTGTTTATATGGTTTTATGAACTCATGCATTGTGATTGTGAATATGTTTGAAATGTGTCATAGGCCATGTGTTTTATGGTTAATGCATGATGATTTCCAAACATGTCACTATGTTATAGAAATGTTAAGTTGCAAGCATGTTATGAATGCTAAACTTGCCATATGTGTTTGGGATGGTTATTGTTTGCTACTGAGATTCTTCCAAATCTCACCATCTCTTAACCAATCATAGTAGGTCAAATGATAAAGAGAAGGCTGTATGAAGAAGGGCAAGAAGATGAAAGCAAAGAAAGTAGAGAATTTACATGCGTTACAATGTAATGATTGACATCGCTAATTATATAATTAATTATGGATGTGTCAAGCATGAAATGTGATGTAATGTTTGATGTATAATATAATAGCATGCAACTCAAAGTATATGAATGAATGAGAATTCATAAGGCTAGTTGTTGCATGTTCGAATGAAGGGAGAATTAAAGTAAGAATTGTTTAATGGATAAAACGTAGGTCTTGGAGCAGTCAGTTTCTAGCTCTAGTTTAACCTATCAAATGAATGAGTTAAGGCAGAAAATTTGACATGGTTAAAGTATACATCCTAAGCTTTAAAACAAGTGGTAGATCACTTAAAACGGATGTGTGCGCTAAGAGTTATGACCTCCCAAAGTTGGACCTGTAATATGGAAAATACCTAGTAAACAGTACCCCGAGAATGAATCCCAAGTTCAATTTACGGGCTTGTTTTGGGAATTGCTTGAACCATAACGCTTCCAGGCACGTACTCTGAGGGGTTAAAGGAAAGTTGTTTCATAATCCACACTGATTAACACCACATTGTTCAGTAAATTCACTCTCCAATACTATATTAATTATTCAAATTTGTATGTTTGGTAGATTTCATTGTTGTTTCAATTTCAAACCCTCCTCCACATATCAGTGCTCCAATCTATTTTCTATCCTTCCTTTCCAATTTGTATGGTTT